GGGCTGAATTGCACAAAACGCATGATCGCACCGGCTAGTCTGGTGCGCGTTGCCATTTATTTATATTGCGACCGGTGGCATTAGAATGAAGCTAAAATTGCGAAAATTAGGCATTTTGACTGCCTTGGCGATTCCGCCGGTACGTCAAATCTCGGGCAGCCAATTCCTCATCATTTCAAACAAAATGTAGATTTTTTATAAATTTGATTTATATCTATGTGATCTGTGCACTTACTATTCGACATCACTTTTTTTTGATTTGAGATTATTTGATATTTGATAAATTATTTGACATTTGACTATTTGACATTATTTATGCACTTATGATATTATAATTGAGACCGGGACTTGCACAGCGATTAAGCAAATGAACCATTGATGGCCGCACTAGATAAGAAATTCCAAAATGCCATATACAGTATACTCATCGGCTATACAGTATACCCATCGGCTACTGTAATCGACGTGTATACTGTAATCTCATCATACTGTAACATACCCCTACAGTTCGTGCATTTACCGGAAAAACGACCGGACTTCATGCAAAAAATCGGTAATCATGCACCTAGATGTCCGTGCGGCTCTGTAATGCAACACCTTCATCTCAACTGACGCCCTTCCTTCCTCTTGCTGTACATTTCGATAAACGGCATAATAGCTTACTTTTGCGAATTCCTATCTTTTCGGCTGGCGGTGGAATGGTGTCCGAATTCAGCAGCAGCCATTCTGCTGCTTCATTAACATCACCTTTCATTTTGTTAAGTCCATAACGTGCTTGATAGACGGTGAAGCCGAGATTTGTAAGCTGTTCAATTGCTCCAGGATCTGCTGAACTTGTCTGCAATAACACATAAGTGCGTTTTTAACTCGACTGATCGACACAAAAGTGATATTTTAAAACTTGATTTATGCAGGGCAACAGGACAAAGTTAACTTCAGTAAGAAGGGAAGACCCAGTACTGATCAATACGACAAACTAATGAATCTTCTAATGCATCCAGGCCGTACTAACAATCACCTGAACTTCCACGGGCCTGTACGTGGGTACTATGCATTCCCGAGGGCTGGGTTTGAAGTCATTAATGCTTACTTGGACGGGAAAAATTCCTTTAAAATTTCAGCCTTCTAGCTTTTCAGGTTCTCAAATTAGTAACTTACCCGACTTCTAATCAACAGAACCAGCTGCTTACTTTGCTCATAGCTAGTGCATGTCCCGTATCAATAAATAATACCCACGAATCAGAAACCTGTGACTCAGACGATGTCCACTAATGCTAACAAATTATAGTGGGAGCAAAAGCCTACAACACGGGCGCCCTTACAAGTCGTAATCGGCCTGAGAGCTTCATATCTATAGTCCAAGGAATTTTCGTGATTTTTAAATAAAAATGGCTTGAGCAGATCACGAAAATGTCAAAAACCAAGTAAATAACTAACCACGCTAATGAGATCGGGATGCTCCTCGTTGATATCTTTGTCACTCATATGATTTAGAATCCATGTTGATGCTGCTTGTATGCCCGTATTTTTGGTCATGTAAACTGCACGACGTGAAGCTTGTGGCGTAAAACCCATTGCACACAGCTGAAATTATTAAAAAAACGTGACTTGAAAGCTTAACAACCGTCGAATCATTTGTACAACAAGAAAAAAAACCCCCAAAATCCTCTAAATATTAATTTCCCATGACAAGCGGCACTCGTAAGTATTCCGAGGGGAGCTGCCGATGGTTTTTTTTCTTCCGAGGGTTGCTTAAAAGCAAGTTGGCGACGCATTAACCAAGCCAAAATTAAATAATTTCTTTTTTCTATACTCAAAAACTTAGTGCACGGAAGGGCTCACCTAGCTCCCCCCACCCCCCGCCCCCTTCCTCTTCCCCCAAACCCTCCTTTGCCTTCCTTAAAATTAGAGGCAGCAGTCGTCGATTTTAACACAACACCTATCTCTATTTCTAGGCTGGTTCATTATTTAATGAAATATGGGAACAAGAAAAGTAAACCCACATTCACTAAGCCCCCCTTAAGGCCGATGACAAGTGGTACAGCGGGCCTGGGCTCAGAATTACAAAAAAACTGATTTCAGCATTCGACCTAGTGGATGGAAATTACAATGAAGACAATTCGTCCTTTACAAAAAGCGGAAGCACTCAGAAGCAGCTCCTGTAGTAGCATATGCCAACAGCAACCACTCGTTGGTAGGGTTGTCAAAAACTCCCTCTTTCGATGACCTCTTGAAAACAAGTTGAGCAAATTCCTAGCACGTACAGGTAGCCATTTACCATCGAAACGAATGAATGAATCGGAAATGACTAGGTTATCTCG